CTCCGACATTTTACTCAACATTATCATTATTTATTCTCAGTTGAGGTATTCAGTCCAAACTTCAAAGCTCTTAAATTACAAATTGAAAAAGAACATTATTATCGTCATAATGAACTCTAAGGTATTGTCATTATTGTTCAATGATCTTCAACGAGCTTTCTTTGCTTATGCGCAGAGTTCATTTTTGAGATTTTTTTAAACGTTTCAAACGAATAGTTTTCGGAAGTATTTTCAGTATTTTCACTCAGAAAATAATGTCTTTATTGGCAGTGCGCTCAGATGAATATGCGTCGTAAGCATTCGATTTGCAGAACTGGCGAGATAAAATTGTCAGTGTTGTAATCAGTGCAATAGCAATTATATATACCAATTATTTTCGTACGAATGTCGATCCTAATATGGAATAGTAATCAGCGTAAACAACCACCGGACATGACTAAAAAATAATTGCATTGACTGAAAGTGGCATTAATTAAAAGAACGTTAATTTCACTTTGAATAAAGCCTAAACAACAATAAACGTTCTACTGAAGGATTGATTTCTACAAGAATTGTGTAGCTGATCAACAGTTCTGTAGTTGATCCTCCATTTTTAAACAACCCTTTTCAACATGACAAAATCCGCCAAGTTGTTCGATAGAGTGAAATTGAAATGAAAACGCATTAACATTTCAATGGCTATTTTTAGTATTGTTATTGGCGAACAAATATCAATAATTAGTTTGAAACATTCCGCAACTAGCTTCTAGCAGTAATTATTTTTCAATTATTTCAAATTGTGTCCCAACGGAGTAACTTCATAATGAAGCAAAGAAAGATCAGTGACAGCAGCGATAGTAATAACATCAATAATAATGATTATAACAATAACGTTTAAGTGATTAAAAATGAATAATATCATTATGTTATAACTTTAACGGTACTGACGATGAATAGTAAAATAATTAATAAGCATCATATCGCGAGTCATTATCGTGGGACTAATTAAGGTCGGTGGCACAACCCAGCAACAATAATAGCAATAGTCGCATTTTGGATGCGAGCAATTAATCACAAAAAGTTTTTCATCGCACAAAATTTCCCTCCTTTCCATTGCGAATGTTTTGCGATAATGGGTTAATGCATGAGAATGGAATTTGTGTGTTGATCTGGAATTTTGTTGACATGCATAATTTTCCAAAAGTAATTTCCAATGACCAAATGATAATCCAACCGGAAAACGGACGTTCAGAAGACGGATGTCGTATGCCAATGAAAATGCATTCAGTCACAATTACGTTTTTTCTGAAGTTAAATTGGTGAAGAGTGTTTTACGAGATACATATGCAGTCAATAACAGAATAAATATGCCATTTTCACTCATAAATTCAACTCCGTGAACCCTTTTTTCTTACTACAGACTTAAGTGGATGTTATCAGTGGTAAATTATCTATTTGCTACAATATTCCTCTTTCTCTCATAATTGATGTCGAAGTTTATGAAAGTCGAATTAATTTTAGTTCTTTAATTATCCTCTCTGAATCTTTACTGAACGTTTGAGAGTGAAAAGTATCGTTACGGTGAACAACTCCAAATGATTTCAAGGAAAGGGCTAATCCAATTGTGGGCGAATTAGCGGTTTCCTTTTTAATCAGAGAATTCTCAATTCTGAAAGCAGTTTACCATCAAATCTCTATCTAAACTATTATTTAGAACCACTATTTATCAGTGGCTTGAATGAATTCAGACCTTCATGACATCTTATAGAAAAATCTTGCACCACTTCGGAAACAAAACTACGACCATTCCATATTACTTTGAAATTCCGAAAAATAAAATAATTACTTTGGAACTTGTATAATTATACGTTCAAATTTAAATTTGCAAGTTACGCGAGATGATCTTTTTATTTTCAGTATTCATACAAATGAAACTGATAACATATTTACATCGTATTTTGCTGAATTCAATTCCTAAAACGTAAACAAATCTGTTTTACTACTCCATTAAATACATTAAGCCAATGTTCCAAAAATGTTCAATTCAATTTAGATATATTTTAGATGCTGAATTGAACGAACCGCATATGTCTTTCAACAAATCAAATGAGCCCTAATCTCATGCTTAAAACTGTCAGCATCCGAAAGCTATTCAAATTGTTCGTACTCCCATTCCATAATCGCAAATCTGTGACTCCCAAAACGTTACACTGACACTATTTGACGTACAGCAATTACTATGTATTTGAACGACAATTCTGGTCGCATTTTGCGAATAAAAGTAGTCGTTATGAAGATAATCGCGCCATAAGCTAGCAGTTGTTATTTACGATCGTCGCGTCACGATTATATCAAAAAGTGATTGATCGATTCAGTGATCCGTTTGAATGCAAAGAGTTAACGTGAACTGAAAATGCTCTCACAAACAGATCTCTATGCGCTCTAAGACATATCACCAAAGACAACGAATGCTTATGAATATGCATGATTCATTGACCAGTTTCATGTTGTAGATCAACATCTAGGATTATCCTTGCCAGTGATGGTGACCGAACCAAGTTCGGTTGATGAGATCCGACGACTTTCGGTAGGATTTCAAAATTCCGAATTCAACCGAAGAATTTTGAAGTAGGGTCGAACACCGAATTTCAGAATTTCAAAACATGGACTCGGTTGGATTCTGATCGAACTGAAATTTGATCGTTCGAATGCGCAGTTTTCTGTTCTAGACAGCGATATTTTTTCTTGCACAAAATATAATGACATTTACATTGTAGTCTGTTAAACAAAAACACAAAAAGTACAAAGCAGTAAGAGTGATGTTTTTCTATTGATTCCTTTCATGGACCCGTCAGCTGTGTCACCCGCTTCCTGCTACTAAAAGTATGATTTAGGCAGTGCAATGAAATTAACTGCAAAATGCGCACTTGAGTTGTCTGTCGTTGGCAATATGCATTGCTAGATGGAGATATTTATCATCATCTGCTATTTTTAATGGAAACATCAATCATCTTACTGACTACTTGTCCTGCAAAACATAACATATGCATATTATATTTTGCGGAACTATGATTTGTTGATCGCTTGAAAGTGCAGTCTCTCTTAGTAGATTAGAAAAAGGGAGGTGCCGAAGTGCGAGGTCGAGGATTGACCTGGAACGAGAAATATGCGAGGTGATAGTCGGTAGTGGAGGAGTGAAGAATAAAACTGAGAGTTGTACTGTTGTTCAGTAGCATGATGAGCTATCAGCATCATCGACGACCAGTCTGGTATTCTGCGGATTGATGATAATGATAATTCATTGTACTCAGATCTCGAAGAACCAAAAAAAGAATTGCTTTCTTAATATGCTTTTCAATTGAAACATCTCATTCCGATGACAATACATCTCATTCCAATGACAATACGATAATACGATAAAATCCCGGATATATGCTGAGGAATATTAAGTAGTTCAGCTTTTGGTGGAAAAAACTGCGTTGAATGGGCAAACAGTAATTGTAATATAGCAGTAAAATGGAGGAGAAAACTTTAGATTTTTGAGATATAGCATTAAAGAAAGAGAAATTCGAGAGTGGGGGTTGAATTAGGAGAAGATGAATGCAACGTGGTACTCGACGAGAAGGAGGGGAGTGAGAAAATTGGAAGGGGAGGGATGGTATTGAGGTGGGACACGTATTCGAGGAAACACGATTTATAATAACATTTTCAACAACAAGTGAAAATTTTCGTATCAGTGGAGATTCTTTCATTATAAAGAAGTCATAAGCATTATAAATAATAATATAATATCCATCGCACTGTACATTTATTGTTTGGATTTGTCGTTCATGAATTAATTTTCATGCTTGAAACGTATGCATTTAATTGAATACTGTTTTTTAAACGCACTGCCACTTTTCATTGAAATATATTATTTTCGTTTTTGAAATACATTTGAAAATTTTTTATCTACTGGTTATTTCACCAGTCTTCAACGGTTTTTTAAAGTATGATTTGAAATAGGTTTGAAGTGTGCTAATCAAAATTTTTGACGTACGTTTTTATTTGAAGTATGTGGCCGTCCGTGTCTATTGAAATATCATGCCAACAAGGCATGATATTTTGATGAATTTTTGATATGCAACCTTGAATCGTTTCCTTGAAATAGTCTTTGCAGCAACGAAAAATATATCCCCCGAATGAATGTTTCTGAACAGACTTTTCCGTCATATGTCTTTGTTTATAAACGTTTTGGACCGCCGGAATGGGCGAGACTTTCAGTTTAGCGTATCTTAAAATTTTCGGTAAAATCGGAAAAATTACACAGTTTCGGTGAATTCGACCGAAAATTTTTGGTCGAACCACAACCAAGGAATTTTGAAGCTCGGCTGGAATACCGAATTTCGAAATCTTGAAAAGTCGATTCAGTTGGATTCCGACCGAACCGAAATTCCATTCATTAACTGTCATTAACGTATATCTTGTTTTAATGAGGAGTGTATGCGTGCATCATGATTAAAGACAGAAATGACTTCGTATAGCAACAGCTTTTATTTGTTTTCGTTTGTCTTAATGCCGAAGGGAATATAGAGGAACAGTTGAAATTAGAATATCGCATGTATATAAACAACGAAGAATAATCGATGCAATGAATAATTGTTGTGCAGCTCATGTCTTTTGCTTTTATTACATTACATAAGCATCACATCACATACAAACAAATTCAGAACAAATCTTTTCAAAACAACCTGACTCTGTTTTGCATTCCACCTAAGAGGTGGCAGTGAGGTTCCCAGTGCGTCAGTTCCTTTAATTCCCTGATGTGATCCGTTAATGTTCCGTTTCATACGAACTTCACATGAATTAGCATCGGCAGTGCTAAACTCTAAATGGGAGTATTTCAACAAAAATTAAACATCAAAAAGTGCTGCAATCAAAAAATATCGACGAGCGTACATATTCACAGCTAGTGCAACACACTTATTTCTGTATTTGTTGGTGGTTGTGTTATTAAGTCGTAAACGTTTCTTTCACTTACGATGACACGACTTCAACATCGACTCACATCAGCTTCAGCTGTCCCTATCACCACCACCACGTTCACTACTAATACTACGACGACCAATACCACTGCTAATCTGAACATTAATCGTAATATTGCCACTAAGAAAAGTGCTGCGATTAAGACTACTGCTATTGGTAGACCAATTTCAGCAGATACATACGACACAGGCGTTGGAATCTGTGGTTGGCTTATTATCACTCTGTCTTGGGTCATTCTTATTTCTACTTTTCCAATATCGGTTTGTTTCTGCGTTAAGGTTGGTCTAATTCGGGTGACATTCTTTATTTATATCCACATATTCGTTTTCTTGTTTAATCGCACACTCAGTTACACAAAGTGCGTGACAATATTACGTAAGAGAATTCACGTCAACTTTTTATGAAACAATCTGATGAATATCAAATAGTGGCAAAGCATTTTGTTCTAACATTAATAATGATGACGATAACAATGACAGTCAAAGTAATAACATTACTGAAGAAAAATGACATCAATAATCATAATAAAAAATGAACTAATTGAGGTTGTACAAGAATACGAAAGGGCTGTTATATTTCGATTAGGAAGGCTCATCGGTGGTGGAGCGAAAGGACCCGGTTAGTTGAACGATTAAAATTCACTGAAATTCGAATATATGATGATCTTTTGTCCTTTCGTATGCTATGCATGCTTTTGGGAACAGGTAATGTTCGATGTTTTGAATAAACGATGTTGTATTTTGCTGATACCTGTGTCAAATGAACTTCAAAGAAGTGCACTCATTAAAATCAGCGCTTGAACGAGCACAAACGGTGATCGACTATCCCTCAGAAGATATTTTGTGGTGCATTTGGTTCTTAAGAGTAGTTCAAATCTCAATTATTAGCCCTTCTAATCGAAAACATTGCGTGATGATCGCAAGAAATCGCTTATGCACATAAACAACCTGAAATTCAAAGGCTCAACACTCGCTTTATTCAGACAACACTAATGAATTTTGTGAACGCCTTTGCAGATAAAAACTCTTCTGTGATTATCATCACTTTGTCAAGTTCTTGGCTTTTTCATTGTTAATATTTCCAACTTAGGGGAACGTTATCAGAAATTCGTGATCTGTTTATTACAAATGAACTTTTATGTTCAACTGTTTAGTTTTTCTAAACTTCTTGTTCTGTTTTCAATTCCTTTCACTCAATGCATTACCACATAAGTTTTGTTGATAACAATTTCTCGTTGAATATTTACTTTATAATGCACCTAATGAATATTCAACATCTTGCCATTCGTAATGCACCTAAATGCGTTTGTTTAATTGCACCTAACGAATTTTTGCGAGCGATATTAAAAAAGGAAAGGAAATTGAATAACGCTCAGAGTAGCGACTCTTAGAGATTCATTCATGTTATCCACTTACACTTACATATTGAATGCTTTTTTCTTTGATGAGAATTAAATTTTAGGTATTTTCTTCGTGTTACCTTGTATTGAATCATACACCAAAGTTGATTTGCGTACTGTTTCATTCAACGTTCCACCGCAAGAGGTAATCATTGCCAATGTTTCATCAATACTTATTTTTTAGTCATCCCTTATCCAGATACACCTTGTCACCATAAATTTGAATTGTTTCGATTGAACGTTGTTAATTTTTGGTGTTTAATATTGGTTATAAAAATTAGAAATAGGTTATAAAGTATGTAATGCCTACTCAAGAGAATACAACTGAAAAGATGCAACATCAATGAATTGAAGATATTAACGAAAGATTCCGTGACGGTGTCGGTCGATGCAGTGGTCTATTACCGAGTGTGTAATGCGACTGTATCAGTGGCAAACGTCGAGAATGCACATCATTCGACACGACTGTTAGCACAAACGACGCTGCGCAATATGCTGGGCACTAAGAGTCTTGCTGAGATTCTTTCGGACCGAGATGCCATCGCTATGTCAATGCAGGTACGTACGTCTTTATTACTTCCATTCAACTAACACCCTCAATAAGATAACTCTTTAATTCAATCTTAACATGCTTTCTTTGAAAATTCGTCGTCTGTTCTACTTCAACATTGCTTTAATCGGCGCTGATCAAATTTGAAATCATAAAAAGTGATCGTCTAAATTTGTTTTTGCCATAAATCATTGCTGCCTGCATTTCATGAAATTATCAATTTACATGAAATTTTCAGCGACCATTACACATAGCAAATAGCAGTTGATTGTGAGCTAATTTGATGATGGTTTTAACTGATTCTAAATTCTAAAGTGATTGATAAAATAATCGCAGTATTTTTATAATTTTAGACACTCTTGGATGATGCAACTGAAAGTTGGGGCATTAAAGTAGAACGAGTCGAGATGTAAGTTGCTATTATATTCACAGATAATTTAGCTGTTTGCAATATCTCAAAATACGCTTTAATAACAGTAACTGTAATTGTCCAACGTTTTATACACAATATCAATAAAAGTGTACTACAATGAAACAATGCTGACAATAACAGAAATCATCCAAAAAATTATGAGTTTTGCCAATAGAATACCAGAAAAGAGATGTTTCAAAAACACTGAAAACAAACGATAATGAACTAATTGTATACAGAAAAGATGTTCGTCTACCAGTACAGTTGCAACGTGCTATGGCAGCCGAAGCGGAGGCAACTCGAGAAGCACGGGCTAAGGTCACTATTAAACGCTTAGTTTTCGTTGACTGTTCAAAGTGCATGAATAAAATTGAAAATTAGGAGTAAATCAATCAAAAATTTAGTGTTAAACGTTTATAATAAGATGAACAGTTGACGTAAATGATTGTGTTCAATTTCTTTTCTTGAATTTCAAAAACCACATACTCAGTAACGTTTGGTTATGGAAGAAATTTGTTTAATAATGTCGAAAAGCAATAAATTGATGAATTTATACCAGTGATTCTCATCGGAAGGGCAGAAAATGCCTCCTGAGAGGAAACGTGGCAAATTACGGTTGATATATTTTTCTCAAGAATGTTCAATAATTTGTTCAAAATGCGATCAAAAGACTAATTCTAATATTTTTATTTCGAAATGTATATTTGTATCTGATCACAATTGATTTCATTGATAATAGGAATGAATTCTTGTCAGAAATATTGCTTGATCATTAGATCTGGTTGTTGTATTTCTTCTGAATTAGACACCGGTGTTTGATGGATTATCAGAGAAGAGGGATTGTCATCACGCAAATTGTTAGAGGTGGCAATAACAAGCTGTCTTGCGTTCAGACAGGTGAACGAAGCGCAAAGGCGTGAGAATCACACGCATGATGTATATAAATGAAATCAATACAGGTAATCGCAGCCGAAGGTGAACAAAAAGCGTCGAGATCGCTTCAAGAAGCAGCCGAAGTGATATCTCAATCACCAGCTGCACTGCAACTTCGATACTTGCAGACGTTAAATAGTGTTGCGTTAGTTATTTTAACATCATTCTCGCCGATATCATATACATTTTCTTTTGCTTTGATTCACCTTATACTACCTGAAAAGGACTGATACATGTTTTTCGATTTTTCGTTATCATTACTAATAAGGTATGAATATTTTCACGTAAAGGAAAACATTAACTGAATTTTTAGAGCTGAGAAGAACTCAACCATAATCTTCCCACTACCAATTGAACTGATTCGTCATTTTATTAAATGAACTGCCGTCATGCATCACTTATATCATAAATCATAATTATTCTATACTTATGCAGTATGACAAATCAATGACCAACGTACATATTCAATTTTTACAGAATGATCTTTTTAATGAACCATCTTGCATTCTTTATTCTGATAAATTCCGTTTCATCAGCACTCTCTAATTCTGAATTTCGTCTGCATTAAATCCGCAAACTCGAATGAAACTAATTTTTTCGTTGGTCTTTGACTGAAGTGCTGCTTGTTCAATATTTGTAAGACGTGCATATACAAGATAGAATTTTAGTTCAACAAGTGAACTTTAAATAGAATAGCGATCAGCTGATGAAATTGATGTATGCAGTGGACTTAAGCACACTTTACGTTTGCAATACATTATCAGCCACTAAAATGGCGATTTTTGAACGGTTACATCAAAATTGTAGCTGAAAGTGATGTCTTTGCAATTCAACACAATTTCGCTAATAATGAACCATTCAATCAGTAGAGGTGAATCATGGTCATCGAAAACTTTGCGTTGAGAGAAATGCACCCAGAGTTTGTCTTAGCTGAACAACTTCAAATGGAATGCACGGTTATAAAACTCGCGTTAAGGAAACCTATGACCATAGGAATTATTCAAGTAAATCAATGATATATCTTTCTTCAGTGAATACTCTCTCGAAATTTGATTTCACCGTGGGTCCAGGTATAAGTTGCAAAATTTCCTGTGATGAATTTCAAAAAAAAGCATATCCATGAACACCAGCGTTAGTACGAATGAATCCAACAAAGCTGACTCACCACTGTTCCTATCACTTCAGTTTCAAGGATTCATTACTGGTTCGGCCCACATTGTTTCTTTTCTGATTCGTTCTCGTTCTTCAGGTGTGAAATCGTCAACCAAATTCAGATAATCTCGTGCTTCATCTACCTAAATTCAGATTCATTCATTACATTTGCCAAATTTTATGCATTATTCGAATGATTCATCTGTAAATAAAATTCAATTCACAATTTTCTGCAATGAACATGTTGTACTACACACCGCTAAACGGGTTCTTATTGTCATCCTCTTAAAATGCTTAAGATAATAAATGCATCGAGCACATAACCGCTGAACCAATTATAAATTTGGAATTAGCAAAATATTAAAAGAAAAATAAAACTAAAACACAAACAGTCATAGATTGTAGTTTCTCGGCAACGAATGCAGATGTGGCTTTAGTTAATGGTTGTATATCAAGATAGTTTGCTGCGTTCATGAGTCGAAACAAATCGTTACGTTCTTCGCATTCGAATTGCACCCTTTCCCAGTCACGAATACAATTCGCCTTGAGATATTCATTGATTACATTCCACCAAAGTGTTCAAAATTATGAATTTGTATCACTTTAACTTGAATCACAAACTATTCTTTCAGTAAACTGATTGATATTTTGCAAATTCGATTTCCAATAAATTTGTGGCTGCAAAAAATGATTCGCAAAATCGCAACTTCAGGTAACAGGCAAATCAAAATTAAATTTTTATATGAACTTCGAAATATTTTGAAGATTCTGACAAGGAGTGAAATCGGAAAATTACATTCGAACATAAATAAAAGAGTGACGATTTTAATGCACTTATTCATAACGCATTGAAAGAATTGAACTTATTCAATCCAGAAGTGACAAAAGATACGACGGATGAAAGATCAAAATGAAAAAATAAATGAATGCAACGCAAACCTTCCCATCATGCCTGGCTTCGTGAGATGCATTGTCATTAATCTGGGATGACGATTGTGAATGCTGTATCATCCATGCAACAATCTTCTTCAACGAATTGTAATCAACTTCATAGAGCGGTATCGGCGTGTGATCCTCACGCGACACTGAGACTCTTTCGAATAGCTGTGCTATTGTTTGCGACACTGTTGCTACATACTTCGGAACACTTACTATATGACCATCACTTGACAATAAATTTATCATCGGTTCATCGTCCTCTTTCATTTTTAACTCCTCAAAATATATTTTCATTAATTCAATGTCAATGTTTCGGCAACATATTTCAACGCGAACATAACAGCAACAATGAGTCAAATATCAACTAATTAAAAAGTATGACCAAACGTGTTAACTACAACAACACCTGAAATTAAACCAACTCAAACTTATAGGCTTGATTCCGTAACACTCGCCTTTCTTGGAATTATAAGAGATGAAGGAATTTGGGTCTAAGATGGAGCTGAAAGTTTCATTCAACTTCAGAATTAGTCAGTGAGTCGCAGCAGAACTCCCTCTGTTAATCGCCTGCGTTAACGATGAATTCAAAATACATTCATTTGGGTATGATCATATGGTGTGCCTCTTCTGAAGTCTAAATATATTTTCATTATTCGTCAAAATCCACACACAACATTGACTGCTTAGCAAGGATGAGGCCAGAACAGAGAATTTGCGCCTAAATTGGGACCGGAATTCTGGACGATCAAAAACAATCGAGAATGCCATAAGAACAAAACCGAAAGAGCTGCATAATGACCAGCAAGCAACAAAGACGGAATCATATCTACAGAGACATAATGTATCAACAAATAATCGCAGTTTTTTCAATTTGGAGTATTTTTCTTTCGGCTCAACCAGAACTGGAAAATTTGGAAGAAAAGTTGACCACAAGAGCGTAACTAGAAGGCATGTTCCTATTGATTACGTAACACTGAAACAGATTAGCTGACAAAAGAATATTCCGAAAGTTTCCTCCGCAAAAATTCATCCATGCTGTCCTCTTTTGTAATTTACGAAATCGCACCCCTTCTCACCCCACCCTATCTCGCATCCCTGGCCCTGCTCTAGATTTTAGTGGTGCTTATAAAAGTGGAAATGCTCAGAAGAAAGACCACAAAAACACCACTGATCAACTACCGAAATCAGATCGTCGTGAATGTTTCATCATATAATGTTACTGGAAACGTCAGCGGAGTGGATGTACGGATAATATCTCGCATTTATTACAAAATGAAAAAAACAAAGTAACAGAATTGTTTCGTCTTGGGCTACGAAATCGAATTCCATTTCATTGAGAATGTCCAGTAAATTAATTTTATGACGTATTATGATTTCAACACAAAAATAACAGCTGATCATCATCACAATATATTTTATCAGGAACATATCAGATGTAACGAATACAAATTCAAAATCAGCTTAATAATTTATGCGCATTTCGAGTAAATTAGAAGTGATTAGTGATTAGATGGAACGAATGAATAGACATCAGGAATATGGAACAAACAGATGAAATACATTTACCGTAACACGAAGATCAATGAAAATGATAATATCAACAGTCATAGTACATTCATCAACATAACAACGACCATAACAACAAAACAACTTCAACAGAAAGATAAAATGTCATTAAAGTGATATAATAATATGCATAACCATTAAAGCAATATTTATCATCAATGAATCATAATTCAATCAATGAAAAACAAACTTCCAATTTGGAAACACGCTCATCCGAATAAGACAACAACTCGTTTGTAATCATTTCGAAGTTGGTAATCACACCTACCAGATATTACATGAGTATCAGCAATTCTGTAGAGTTAGCCTTTAGAAACAGATTTGTTTCAAACAAGATTACGTCAGAAATGAATTTGCTAAAAATTTCATCGAATAAATCTTATCGTATAGGTATAACTGCTCTCGAATAATTTATTAACATGTAATTTTGGATAGAATACATTTTGATAACTGCATGGAAATTACACAACAGACTTTCGATTTTTTCAGCATTTGCCATTACTTGATGTGCAGACTATAAACAGGATTTTCCCGGGGCTTTTCTCCGCAAATTTCGCATGACAACCTCGTTTCCGGTTGGACTGACAGACCATTATCCCATATAACATTGACTTCGTTCAAGTAAAATTATTTCGGAAAGATCAATATGATGAGGATTTCATGGAACTCATGCAGACATTTGTCAAGGAAATGACACACACACAGTTCTTGATTGTTCTCTTACACAGGGGTGTTGCATTAAGTACGGTGCTCTGCAGGCAACGCAATCAATCTCTAAACAAGTCATTCGAAATGATTGCTCCAACGCTCATAAAACATATTTTAGAATGAAGTAGAAAGTTATTATGTTTTGGCAGCTTGAATAGTGCACCGATTATGCATTCAAAACAATTACCAAATTAAAAAACAATTCCATTCGATGCTCACAAACGAAAGCGTTGATCGTTGACATATCATAAATTACAATATATATACATATACATCACACTATATATCAATATACAAAAAAGCAATGATATAAACGCTTTTTAACGACAAATAAAATAGTCATAACAAAATACAAATGAGCCACAAAAATGCAAATAGATTCATTTATGAAACCTGAGTAGAAAATATTACTTGTTATTTGAAAATCCCACGATAACAACAATAATAAAAGTAATGTAATTTTTATCTTTGTACAAGTTGCATTATCTGACGTAAATTATTCTCGAATTGAGGTATTAAATGCTGTTCAATATGCATCACATCGTACTTCGCTGATGTGCATTGACGTAGTTGTTTCAGATAGCTTTCGAAGCGGTTTAATAACTCTCTGAAAATTCCGTCAAATCTTTAGTTATAATGAATTATTTCTATTTTAAACACTTCACAGATGATAAAATTTCAAAAAAAAATAATTCAACGATAATCGTGGAAAATTTATTGGAAATAATAAGTAAACCTGTATCTAAATTTGGAGTGCGGTGAAATATCTTCAGCAAATATAGTGCACATACAATGGAACTGTTGCATGAGGTCTGATAAATGAATAACAATTGAATTGTGTGATGAGTCGTTATGATGATTCGACGATGACATTAACTTATTATTACGGCACATATAGTCATTCCGTAGTTCATTTATGCAACATGTTAAGCGATTATATAATTCCAGTAGTGTTTCTTTATTCACCTGAAACGTTGAGATTATTTTCTGATAAACGAAGAGACAACCAAACACAGTGATGCTTTAGCCATAATAAGTTTACAGCACATCAGGCCTTCACCATGAGAAATGAATGAAACTATTCGAAGTGGTTCATTTGAAAGTGTCAGCACATTAGGTGTATTGTTGATTATACGAGAAAATATATAAATTGTTCATCAGAAGACAACCGTTGGTGAGGATATTTCCCGCTGATTTGATACCACTGCTTCTGGAGGGATACCGTTTGAGCTGCTAGCTGCTGCTTCCTCCAGGACTGAAAACCTTTTTTCGGCCATACGTGCCGCCATAAGTCCTCAAGTGTGACAGATAAAGTAGGCAAAATACAATTACTTACCATATCGAACGAAATAAAAATACAACTTGAAAAATTAGAAAACAATACAAAAAAAGAATAATGAAGAGAACCTTTCGAGGATGTTGCAGCAGGATTTGAAGTGGACAGTTTTTCAAATTTGGAAGTGATATCTCTTAATGACTGAGTACGTATCATGCCGTTCACATCGTCACAATCATCACTTTTGATTTCATCTAATTCCTTTAATTCATCAATCGTATATTTTGAACTATTCTTCTCATTTATTTTGCTTTTTCGCTGCAAATTATTTTCATTGTTGAATGATACCTTAAATTCATATTCATCAATACACGGATTATGCATTAAGTAATATGCTGTTTGAAAGAACTACAGTCGCCCTTCAAAAACACTTTTCGCACAATTCGATATGTACGCAGAAAGAAACTGAGTTTAAGTTATTCGATATTCAGCAAAATAACAATATAGTAATAAGCAGAAATCGCACCTTGTTTACCCTTTGTAGAGTTGAGAACTGACATGGCTGATTACTGAGTACATTCGATTTCATACTCCTTTGCCTCTCCAATGCGTCGGCATTTGACGATGCTGAAAGTTGATTTCAGAATGAATTATCTCTGAATGTACTCGTGAATAAATATGAACATATGCTTTTAAATAAAACAACATGACAAACCTGAAAGAGACTCGGTATCAGTTGACTCACTACTATTTACATCAGACTGCATTGAAAACGGACGATGATGTTGTAACGGTGATACTTTCTGCGTTATCAACGTCCGAATACGGGCTCGTTCACTGTTCAGCACCCGTTCGCTCGGATCACTTGGACTGAACATTTAAAATTGTGGATTTCTTTGATTACATCATATTTGCACATTCAACTGACTGCTACAAATTAATCACATTACTCGTGAAAAAAAAATACATCAACCGATAACCTCTTGGATCAATTTTTGTTCTTTTTTTGGGTAGTGCACAAGTCAACTTTTGAAGAAAGCTCATAATATGTATTTGAACGTAACAGACATGAACGAAGCAACAGTACAAACTGAAAATACAAATAAGTAAAAGAAACCGCTCCGGTTCAGAATTCGTCCTTTTTTCCACATGTCGAAGCTGTCTTATTTTAGCGCGAAATTCGTTTTCATCACTGTCATACATATCAGATTGCTGATTCGCTCTCAACTTATCTTCTACACCAGCTCTATCGTTCCGTTTCATCCTATTTCCTTTAGTTTTCACTTTCCATTTTTCTTCCGTTTGTGATACATTATCAACTTTTGTTAACTGAAAACTCCATCACAATTATTCTTCACAACCATTTCGTCGTTCTTTTCTTTCATGGAAGGCGTAAATAAAGCATGCGATTTTTGTAATAAAACCATTTGATCAGATCTGATAAGTTGTAAAAGTTGTATGTTAAGTTGTAAAAGAAGTTGGATGTTGTGCCGTCTCAGACAACATACCCTGAAAAAAAATAAAAAGAATCAAGTAAACCTTTCGCGGTTTTGGTTCAGGTTTTGAGATGATTGCAATGGATGACGACGAATCAACAATGGATTGTGGACCGACATTTGTTGGAATATTCAAGTTATAATTTGATTGGCACTTCGCTGGTGATGAAGAGGATGGCATATGCGTGGCGTCAGACCTTCTTTTCTTGAATCGCTCCTTCAGTTGCTCCAGCAATTCATTTTGACTATTATTATTGTAACACACACTTTCACTCATTCCATCGAAAGCCCTTCAAACATGCACTTTAATAAATAAACGTGAATTCGTTCAGTACACGACAAAACTGTCTTTAATCGAATGAAATCTAATGCGGAGCAAAAATATCACACTAAAGAAGTCAATGAAAAACCATCAACGAACCTATTAGTGTGATGTACACTGATCGGCATATTATCAAACGAGCAATCATCAGACTGCAGATCGATATCGTTATCATGATGACAGTTACTGTTCCCTTTCATTGACTCCAAATAAGCATCGATACGAACATTCTTTGGCATCGTCCCGAATTTACTCACCGCTTTATGCAGATTGCGTTCGGCCAAAGGTGATATCACCATGTCATCAGATGATTCAACTGAATGATCATTGCTAATCAACATCTGTTATAACGAAGAATTTGAAAATGACACAGATTAGAAGTCTTCTGGAGATGGAAAATGATGACGATACTAACAATAATAAGTGTCAGTTAGAGAACACAAATATCGGAAACAAAAAAGAATAGTAATGATGAGAGGATAATAAAGCCAACCAGAAGACTGCGTTTGAATGCTGTTCGCCACTGACGGTGATAAAACGGCTTTGAGTAATTTAGGTTTGGTGGATGACGGTGGTATTGGAAGGGGTAAGTGACGACGCGGTGAATTGACGATGTTCGAGTGATTATTCGGTGAGTATTTATCACTGACATTGTCATTATTATTGTTATTGAAGTGTCGTTGCTGATGAGGTTGTTGTTGTTGTTGTTCATATTTGTTTAGTAATAAATTTGATTTGGACACAACCATAGAGGAAGTAGACGGTTGATTTGGCAGTAATGGAATGGAATTATCGAATGATAGTTGATGGCGATTCGGTTGGTTGGATCGCATCGGTTGAGTTGGTCTTTTATTGGATGATGAAGAAACTGAGGAGGATTTAGAGCACGTCGATGACATACGCTGATGACAATGTTCCAACTGCTTATTCACCTTTAAATTAACCCTTTCATTCAGTGCTAACATAATAACGAGGTTCAAATGAAACCGTGTCCTCGAAAATCAGTTGTGCAATAATTTTAAAAAATATCTCTGAAGTTATCGAGTTTGAACTACGTAACGATCTACAACTCAAACTTATGTTCTTTCAATTCAGTTCAAAACTGTTGTTCGACAATAGCGTTTATAACATTGCGATGCTTTGGTCAACTGAATATTTTAGCATTATCAAGGACTGTTCATACTAAACAATGAAATGTTTTTCCTCCAACAACAACTATCCATCAATATTGGATGATAAAGCAAGATTCGAGAGGAACAAAAATTAAACATATATTGATGATGTAAACAGTAGCCAAAAATATTACATAAACAATACTGTCTAGTTAAACAGGAAATTTTGAGAACAAAAATATGCAAAGCTGAATTTATTAAAGAAAAACTTGATATTTGAAAAATTATGTCTGTTGTTACATACTTCAAAATGAGTGAAAAGAATGATTTGTTGTGAAGACAAACAAAACCAAATTGCGAACCTCATCATCGATATTGGACAAAGGAAACAATGATTCGAGACTGTAGTGGATCTCTTTGAAACGTGGTCGGTCACTTGGTGACCAATTCCAGCATTGTAACATTAAACGATACACTGACGACGGACATCCCTCAGGTGCATCCATTCGAAAACCCTTCTCCAATAAATTATAGACATTATTCAACTCAACACCCGGGTAAGGACTCATTCCGTACGTCGCTATTTCCCACAACAATATCCCAAACGCCCAGACGTCGCTTTTTGTGCTGCAAACACTTGTTGATTATATTATTACTGATGGCATTATTACAATTTCATTCAAATTTACCACAATTTTAAATTTTAAACTTAAATTCTGACCGTAAGTAAAATAAAGCGTATGAAATTAATTGCAAATAATGAGTGACAATAATTGCCCACCTAAACGTGTTGTAAGCAAGACCTTCGGGTGCAGTCCATTTAATGGGAAATTTAGCGCCAGCGTGTGCTGTGTAAGTATCTTCTCGCATAAACCTTGCCAAACCAAAATCTGCTACTTTCACTATATTATCCTCGCCAACCAAACAATTACGTGCCGCCAAATCTCTGAATATTTATTCGTTATTCCTACTGTTCGACCGGCTGATCTTATATTCACATATTGGTTGTTTTTATATCACACATGATGATAGCTGACCAAAAAAATTCAATATGATCCTCGAAGTAATGCATTTTTACCACATGAATGTTGAGAACAGCATTATAAAAGAAGCAATATGAAACTGAATAACACTGCATATAAAGTAACGTACCTATGAATGAAATTTCGCGACTCGAGGTATGCCATACCAGATGCGATCTGCGTTGCCATATACATCAGCACCGTTGGAGAAAGTTTACGATCACATTTTCTTAAAATAAAACAAACATTGAAAATTTAACTGAAATGAAACTGTGTTCAATCAGACGAGAGCTCGCGGGTTTGAAGGTTTGAACTAATGAAATCAAAAAATTGGGTGGAAATGATGCAGAATATCAATAGCGAATGTGATTTGAGCATCAAAAGCGAATCTTGTTACATTAAGCGCTGATAAGCAACAACAGTGGAACAAATGAAAACAGATGAGAAGCACCCAAAATCGAACTGATAATAGTCAGAAAAATGAACTAAAAGAAAGCAACAACTTTACGGAAAGCATAAACCGAAATGAAGTAAGGAAAGCAATCGGCATTCCATAAACACAAATAATTACCTGAGATAATCGAGTAAATTCCCTTTACACATATATTCGGTTATAATGTAAAACGGTGGCTCTTTTGTACAAACACCCATCAACTGTACAAGATTCTCATGACGCAAATCCTTCATTATAGTCGCTTCTGCCAAAAAGTCGTGTAAAGCCATTGCCTCCTCCTAATATTAATTACGTTCGTTGTAATCAATTCTACTTATTATGAATCAAAAAATACAAACTGCAACAGCGAAAATGTTCACTGCTCTGTTACAACATCGAAACAATAAATTTTCGTTGAGACATAATTCGGGAATATTTATTTTTAAACCGATAAATGAAATTAATAAGAAAAATTTGAATTAACAGCAGGAACGTATTGAATACTCATTGGATATCTGAAAATAAATCGAACAGATTAAACGAACTTTAAGAGTTTTAACAGCGACAACTCGTTCGTGCTTCCTCCAATAACCTTCATAAACATCACCATACTGACCACCACCTGAAACACAATACAATCACACAATGTAACAAACAAACAGATGCATAAAAATAAGTACTGATCAACAACAACAAGCAACGAACCAAGCTTGTTTCTCATGATAATTTCATTTCGATCCACTTCCCACTCGTCCGATTGCGTTGGTGATAACGAAAATATATTCGGTGGTTGTTCCTTCTTCAAGGCTGGAAACAGAAGTGCACAGACAAGACCATCGGCATTAAGACTGTGATGATGGACCAATTCAGCCAGACTTTTGAATTTATATTCTTGCGTTATATAAAGCTGTAATCACTGACCACCATTAGTTGTCCTACCGCATTTACTCACATTCAATAAATGAGCACAACTGAATAAGCCAGCGAAATTTTGAAAAATCATTTCAATCCATTCCTGGTTTGAAACAATAACATAACAAATGTGAGGAATACAACGAATGATTATTCATTTCCAAGCAAAGAATCATTTTTTCATCAATTTCGAAACTGTCCACAGACGACTTGAAGGCATTCCAACGAAACAATCTTTGAATTGTATTATTGAGGTGTTCAAGAAAGGTGAGGAATATTTGCAAATGGCAGATGAGAAATTCGATGAAATAATACGATTCGTCGATTAATATAAAAAACACTAAGTCTAAAGGGATGTTTTCATGTCGAGATATTTAACGCCATATGAAACAATACAATCATCACATAATAAAGTTGGCAATTATGTAAAAAACATACCAGATCTCTGTGATCAACCGATATTCTATAATGATAAACACGTCCATCGTACCTTAACGATATCGAAAACTGGCCTATACTCGTTTCAGATTCCCGAACCAAAAAACTTCCATTAATACCCGAACTCAATAAATATTCACTTTCAGTACGACTGATCTTTCCATGATACCTTCAAAGTAATAATTATGAAACAGATATGTTTGAAAGAGTGTCATGCGAGACATCACTTCGACAAGTGGAATGTATTGGATGGGTTATCAGTGATGGCCATTGGTATGAAAAATAAGGATAATCAATAGGTGATGATTGCTCGTCGATAAAAATTAGTGAGTAAACGAATATTCACTTCTCATCAGTAACAAGAATAATACAATGAAGAGTGACTGCAGTGAAAGTCAAACCATGAGTGTTTTTGAAGTGAGTTAAGAGGAGTAATATACGATGATGGTACCCATCCAATCAGGCATTTACGTCTCGATATATTGTCACGTTTTGTATTCACCAATTGAGCTTCACACCATTCGCCTCCTTTATTATGTCCCAACACTCTTATTTGATCACCTGAAATCGATCCATGTTGGAACTAGTGACTGAAAGGGAATTCTCATAAGAAACTGACTTGTTCTCATTCACTATACTGAAAAAAATTCATTACCAACTTCAGCAATATACACCAGTTTTTAGAATGAATAGAGCAAAAGTTCCTCGAGGTAATGAATTGAAAAAATTGCCATTTAACAGGAACAGAAAGATGAACACAAACGTACCTTTTCGCAAAGAAAGCTGCTCTTCACCCACCCCATGAAAATCATACAATGCAACAAACAATGAATCAACTTCATTTCCAATTGAACATACATTCAAGAGATCTTCCCTGAAAATTCCAAATTATATTCATCACAAACCGATCATATTTCAAGCACTACTAAAGCGTTTATCAAGTACTCAAAATTCAATTTGTGAACATAATACTTGCACCCAAACCACAAACGATAAAACTATGTAACAGAGAAAATAATGCAAACATGAGAATATTTTATGATGTCGTTTTGTACGCGGAAAAGAATTTTTTTTCAGTTTCATTCAACTTTACGAATGAATATAACCCATTAAATAGCACTTCAAATCCACCTAATGAATGACGATATTCCCGAAGTGAACACATCACAACCACATCATAAAAATAATTTTGTGTCACATCACTAATAACTAAATTAATCATACGATCATGAGTAAATAATAAATGTAGAATAAATGAGTGACTAACAAAAACTAAATAAATAAACGAACAATAACTAATAAATAAAAATAGACTGATGGTAAATCAATGAACCTCGATGACCACCTTGAAGAGTCGTGTCTATAGTGATGCGACAGAAATGTATCTACAGATGACGGTCGTTTATCCATATCACTTTCATAACATCCGCTAGCACTCTTCCACTCGTACGACAGATTATCGCTGCATTCTGTAATCGAAAATAATTCTTTCATGAGTGATCCTTCCTTTAATAATGAATAACATATGAACAAATGTGCATATAATCACACAGTGCAGAAATGAATGAAATCACTTAATATAAAATGAAAAGAATTAATAAAAAACATGTATGAAGTCATGACTAGATAAAAACGTAAAAAAAANAAAAAAAACAGATGAGATGCGTTATCAATAAGGATGACTTCGCTATTGTATTTGCATTATAACGAACATCCACATCCACAGCTGATTCACCAGTAATGAACCATCATCTAATAATCATCTCGTACTGAACCAATATTAATGAACCAAACACTACAACTCACGCGATCTGCAAACCCTACACATGGATGTACTCTGGTCTTATCCACTCAACTTTGTCTCAAGTTTAGGTTTGGATCTAGTCTTATTCTTACGTTTAGGATTTAAGCACAATCTTGTTTAGTTTAAGTTTAGATCTTGTTAAGTTTAAGCAGACAAGCAACTAAATACACCCTTCTATATTGCTAGATTCATTGGGATTTGCATGTGACCACTGTTTACATATAGTCTATACTAACATTTATTC